GATCCATTCCGAAAACTTAATCACAACCTGCAACGTCGCATGGTATATGGGGTCATACTGGTCGTTCTTGTGCGAGATCAAGTACGCCGTGAGCCCCGTGGAGGATCTGCCAGGAGCCCCATTGAGGACCGCCGCGAACAGCCTGAGCTCCTTCAAAGCCGAGTCGCTCACCCCTGCCACAGTGGCGCCGTGGCCAACTGACGGCAGGGCCCCAGTCCTCCACAACGATGTCACTCGCCTGCCTGTCGCCCTTCGCAGCATGGTGAAACGCTGGCGGCGATCTCTAAAACTGGTCAGGCGACGCTTCTCGATCCTACGCAAAACTCGAGGTCCTGACAACTCGTGGCCTAAGTTCCTCATGTGGGCCTTGAACGGGATCTTCATGGAGCCCATGTACTTACTGACGGTCTTCCAGAGACGTTTTTTCCCAGGGATCCCGCCTGACTTCGCAGCATTTAAAACCATACCCAGCCCCTTGGAATCGTGGACGAAGCCCTTGGCCGCAATGGCCAGATACTTGAGGTCCTCAGGGGCCTTCGAGATGGACTGGAGCCCGACATCATCCATGAGGGTGCGGGGCGTGACCGTGACCGAGACCTGGTTTGCTCTACTGACAGCCCTGTACGTGAGCAGGTAGAGGAGGAAAGTAGCATGCGTGCAACCCGCCAAAATTCCTTGGTAAGATACCTGCCCAACCGATACGCTACCAAACGCGCGAATCCTTCGCGGCTGCTGGTAACTGCACACGAGCATCCACAGCAATCGCATAGAGAACCCCAAGGCTCTCCCTTCTCGCAACAAAGCGTGCGGGTCTACCATCTCGTAGCACTTGGACATATCCAAAAGAATCGTGCATGTGTTCTCCCCTAGCAACTCGGCAATCTCCTGCTGCAAATTGTGGTCGAATGCCGAATCGCTCGAAGTCTGCCCCGATTTCGTGCCCCACATCTCATGGCAGGCATATCGATCTTGCCATTCCCTCGAAATCGGTCGCCTGAGTTTCCCCCATACACGTATCAGTGTGTTACTCAGAACAATTAATCGGTGATCGCCATCGGGTTTCGGCAGTCGCACGAGTTCGCTGTATATTCGATCTGCTGGCCAGCACAACCACCGTTCACATAACATGAAAAGGTTGCCAATAGCTTGGAGCGCGCCGTCGGACAGGACGTCCAGACTCCTCGGCGCCAACCTCGTAGGGCCAGCAGCTGTCTTGGTCGAAAAGGACCTCACCACATTCCTTACATCAGTAAAAGAGATATGGGGAAGAGCGTCCCACTCACTGGAATCCGAGGGAAGATCAGGCGCTTGAAGCCGATGATGCGTCCATACCTTGGACCACTGCCGCAAAGTCTGGTCAGCAAGCTGGTATGGCTGCGACTCCTGACAATATTGGAGTACTTCAGCTTGTGCTCGGACTTTGGACATCGCATGGGCCCGACTGGCCCCTTCCAAGAAAGACTCACGAGCCCATTCTCTCCAAATCTTTTCCGTTCTAGAACGCTCCTGGCCTAAAACCTTGTCGGCCTGGGCGGAAATGGCATCAGTGATACTCTCAAAGTTTGGATCGACAATCATCACCAACCCTTTTTGCAGAAATTCACTGAACTCCTCACCCAAATCCTTGAGCACCCACTGCTCAGCAGAAATCTTGTCACAATATCTCCCAGCCTCGTCGAACGCCTGCAGCACCTTGAAGTACTGCATCTCGGTTAACGTGCACACCGCACTGCATATTCGGAGCCGCTCACAGAAACGGTGCAGCTTATCCTTCTCCGACCGCAAGTGGGCCACCCAACGCTTTGCCGTGGCCCACGCAGCTACCCTGGAGTCTCGATATTCTCGCTTTCGAGGTGGAGTCCATGTCGTTTGTTCCCATTTGAATCTCGGGGGTCCAGCTCGTCCAACGAATTCCTGGGCCTTACCATCGACTTTGTCAAATCTCCCAGCGATCTCGAAATCAACGCCATCAAGTACTGCATCCCACACACGCGGTAAGTCACTGGGCGCCTTCACCGACTCAAACATGCCTTTGATCCCGTCCCAGTTGTAAGGGTACCTCGCACATCCTACTGGTGGGATCGGGGGAAACTTCCTCGGTTCATCAGCAACTCGACACCACATGGGCCTGTCCGACCCATGGACCACCAGCTGCACGGGAAAATGTGGAGGTGGAATGGTGGCTTGGGCATTCATCACCACCGCCTGCCTGTCGAGTCTTGGAACCAAGTTGCTGGCGGCCAGAAAATAATCAATCTTGGACGAACCAGCGTCGGTAATGCACGTGGCCTCCGACGGAACAAACGCCAAGCCTGCAAGCTTCTCGACCCAACCTTTGACATTGACGGCATAGAAGTCGCAATTCCAATCTCCGCCTATCACCCAGTCCAGTCCCAGAGCCTGCCACTGAGCAATCCTCTGCACAACTGCCCAAAGTATAGCAAGATTTTCTCCAGTCATGCCAATCGCCGTCACAAAGTAAACGCTAGCAAAGACAATGCCACCTGGGACCCCACATTGCACGTGGGCGCATACCGCTCTTCCAGGATATATCACATGGCTGCCGTCAGGGGGGGCGGTGATGGTGATGTTGGTGCGAGCAAAGACCACCACCCCACTCGAGTTGGACATGGCCGACTCGCCCGTCTCTAACGCTGCTGACCACAGCCCGTGCCAGCCTGCATCCCTCGCCCTATTCTGAAATTCTCCTAAACGGGCCTCCACGACTCTGGTCTCCTGCGCCAAGAGAACCGAGCCCTGGTACTCCGAGAGATACTCAAACAGCGGCCCATGCGAGCCAGCATTGACTGTCGTGATGCAGCAACGTTTAGCCGACCTCGTACCAGTGAGAGGTGGACCATCAGCCGCATCGTTTGGGGCAATGACCGCGGGCTGCCCCCAACCGCCTGAAACAGCTGACCTTGACGCCGAACTGCCAGCACTTGGCCCACCACCAGGGGCAGAGAAATGCCGCGTCGCCGAACCCGCCGCTGACCTGGAACAGGAGGCCGACGCCGAAGCCCAAGCCCCTGGCCCGCTACCAGGGGCAGACAAGAGACTGGTGGTAGCCGTAGTTCCCCGCATACTAGCCTTCCCTGGGGGAGGGCTTCCACTGGCCTCATTCACGCAATCACCTGCGCCAGTCAGCCCGACAACAGGTCCAGCGCTTCCGAGAACACAGCGGCCGCCCTCCATAAGCGAAGGGACGAAGGTAGATTCCAGAAAAGCACCAGATGCAGAGAAATGCCGAGTCGCCGAACTCGCCGCTGTCCTGGTACATGAAGCCGACGCCGAAGCCCCAGAACCTGGCCCACTACCAGGGGCAGACAAGAGACTGGTGGAAGCCGTAGTACTCCGAATAAAAGCCTTCCCTGAGGGAGGGCTTCCACTGGCCTCATTCACGCAATCACCTGCGCCAGTCGGCCCGACAACAGGTCCAGCGCTTCCGAGAGCACAGCGGTCGCCCTCCATTAGCGAAGGGACGATGGCAGGACCCAGAACTGCTCCCAATGCAGAGAACTGCCGAGTCGCCGAACTCAGCGCTGTCCCTGAACAGGAGGCCGACGCCGAAGCCCCAGCACCTGGCCCACTACCAGGGGCAGACAAAAGACTGGTGGAAGCCCTTGTACCCCACATACCAGCATTCACATAAGCCAATGGGACAGAAGCAGGTCCCAACCCTGCAAAATTAGAACCATCATCTGAAATAGCACATCGACTCAATGAGAAAGGGCTCCCGCTGGCCTCCTCCACGCAATCACCAGTGCCAGTCATCCCAACAACAGGTCCAGCGCTTCCGAGTACACAGCGGTCGCCACTCGAGCCCCATATTCCTTCCATTCGCGGGGAAGGTCCTGCACTTTCCGAAACAACCATCATTCCACTAACACTTCCAACCATCACACTGAGCACATTGAACACAAGCGAGAACCTACTCGGCCGACGGCTTTTGCCGCTTGCACATGGAGAGGTAGCTCGTCTGCATCTTCCTGATCTTGCCACGCAGCACCTCGGCGTCATCCGAGGGTTGCGCAGGTATCCCTGCTGCATCCAGAGTAGCCCGCAGATCATCCACGTCCATGGACTCAACATGTGGCGCAGGGTCCTCCTCGGGGTCCTCCTCGGGCTCCTCGGGCGTCTGCGGTTGCTGCTGTGGCTCTGGGGTGGGTGGCTGCGCTGCAGGGAGTTCGGCGAGCTTCTTGATCGTGGCCGCCATCGCCTGCAGCTCTTCCAAGAGGTCTGGAGGAACCCCCAGCCCAGAAGCGACCACCCCCAGCTGCTCGACCGACACAGAGAGCGTGGGGAGCATTTGCCGCAACGAAGGAGGCCCTTCCCCACTGCCGTCGGGTGGCTGAGCCTTGGACATGGTTGCCCTCGTCTCACATTCAAGCCGCAGGACCTCCTCCTTGGCCTCAACCAAACGCGTGTCGAGGCTCTCCAAGACCTTCTGGAGCTCGCTGATCTTGCTCTGCTGCTCATCGCGGGCCTTCTGCAGCTGCGTTTCCTTATGCCGAGCACTTTGAAGCCGGTTTGCCAAACTGCGAGCCTGCTCCTCAACAGGTCTGTCAGCAAACAAGGCCGTCTCGAGGGCAGACTTCTCTTCTCGGTACCGTCTGAGCAGCTCCTCGTCCTGGGAAAAGCCTCCACTCGCCACTTGCTTGATGAGACCTTCCAGGTACTTGATCCTGCTGCGCTTGTCACACTGCTTAGCATCAGCAGCCCAAGGAGGAGGGTTCCCAGTACCTGAATCAGGAGAAGAACGCCTTGCTGCTTGAGGAGGAGGAGGAGGAGGAGGAGGAGGGAGAGGAGGAGTAGGGAGGAGGAGGAGGAGGAGGAGGAGGAGGAGGAGGAGCCCCTCCCACTCCAACTTATGGTGGTGGTGGTGGAAAACAGGCCCATCAGCAACTCATCGCGAGGAAGGAAAGAGGATGAGGTGCCAGGACCGAGGAGGACGAGGAGCGAGGCACGAGGCACGAGGAGCCCGCGGCGGCGGCGGAGTCCTGCCAGCGCTGCCGGGCGGCGGTCCCGCCGCGGGCGCGGCGGGGCGCGGCGGCGGGGCGCCGCGGGGGCTCGGCAGCGGCTCCTCGGGCGAGTGCGCCGACGAGAGGGGGGGCTTAATGATGTTCCAGCCTGCTTCAGCCTCGATCACCAGAATCTCGAACATCGAGAGGGTACCGAAACTCGAGGGCTGTCACGCGTCGGGCCCCGGGAGGTGAGCGTTTTCTTGTTCGGCGTCTCGACACTGGGAGGAAAGGGGGGGGTCTGGCTCCGGACCTGTGCTTAATGCGCCTGTTTGCAACAGTGCGTCCTATGGGGGAGGCTCCACCTGCTTGAAACAGGCGCCCAAACCAGCCAAGATCTACTTCAAGGGGGAGGGAGGGGGGGTGCGAGGGCCCGCGCCGATCGGCAAAACAATAAATAAGAAGACGATCACGAAGCGATGCTCGTTCGACACTGTTTCGACACTTTTCTGGGTGCTCGGAATTATCTCTGGGATGCGGTCCGTAAGTGCGATGAGAGCAACACAAGGGGGTGACAGGACGAAGAGGCGCGGCTGCGGGTCTCATCTCGCTCACGAGGTGGCCAACGAACAGCACCCACACACACACACACTCAAAGCTTTCAGGGAGGAGGTATGGGGAATGGGCAAGGCGAGGAAGGCGCAAAAGTACAGGTGCGAGTTGTCAGGTTCCTGGGGGGGGGGCTCCCGTTCGAGCGGGGCCCCTCATCCGACGACACACATACTGATACCCCCCCAACTCTGAGGGATGCGTACGTGTGGGTGTCAGCTGCCAGCTCGTGGCGAGATGTACGGCCCTGAGCGCACGAGTAACTCCTGCATGGAGGCCCGAGGCGGGGAGAACTTCCCCGCTGGACCTCCCGAGCGCGCGCCGTCCACCCTTCCTGTCGGCGGCTCCTCTGCGGGCCAGGGAGGGGGCCTTCCGATAGCGCGGATCGTTCAAAATCAGCCGTCCGATAGCGCGGATCGTTCAAAATCAGCCGCTTTCGGGCCACGGGCTGCGCTCCACCTCGAGCGCCCGCGCTGGGGTCGCCGCCGCGTCGACACGACACGAACCTGCTGTTGAACTACGCCGGGTGCGCCGAAGAAGGGAGGCCAGGAATAGCCAGGCCAACACGAGAGCACCGTGCGAGTATGCTGTGCACCTGTGCGACTTCACCGCTCCTCCTCATCATCCTCCTCCTCCGCCTCCTCCGCCTCCTCCGCCTCGTCAACGTCGTCCTCCTCCTCCTCCTCCTCCTCCTCCTCCTTGCCTCCACCCAGTGTAGCGCTTCGTGGCACCATAGGGAGCTTCACAGACGAAGATATTCGCAATGGCGGTACCCACAACTGCATATGGTTGGGTCCTTCGCCAAGATATTTGCTTTGAAGAAATTCTCGATGATCGATGTATCTCTCCCTGAGCCTGTCCCCCCCTGCCGTTGCCCCAGACCCTCAGCCTTCTCCAGAACTGCGGGGGCACAGCACCGTTCGCCTCCCACTGTTGCTCCAACGCTGACTCCTGCTCAGGGCCCTGGCTGTGCTGCTCCGCCTTCCGCTCTTAGGGGTCGGGCATATCCTCCTACAAGCGGATTTTGAACGAAAAACAAAAATAGTCAGAACATGCCCCCAAAATATTCGAAAGTAGTCGGAAAAATCGTCCCATGACTATTTTTTTACTATTCTTGCATACTCCTCCTGTAGAGGGACAGGCCCGACTTAACCCTGGCTGTGCTGCGCCTCCTTCCGCCCTCCAGGGCCGAATGAGAGTCCTGCCGATGGCCAGGGCGAGAGGGTCGAGCGGCCTTCTGCTGTCCCTAGCCGCGCTGCATGACGGGGAAAGATGCCGAGATGACCGCGGGGGCCTCTAAGTGGATAGGGGGGTTGCGAGCGGATGCCAAGGTGGATTATATCTGGCCCAACCTGGCTGACAAATGCACTACAAATGCCCCAAATACCTCACTGAAGGGGGTTAACGATCCGGGCTAAGTGGGCTCCGCCCACTTGGCGAAGTTATCTAACCTCCCTAAGCTACTCGGGGAATGTGTAACCCACTTATCAGCCAGGTTGGGCCAGATATAATCCACCTTGGTATCCACTTGTAACCTCCCTATCCACTTAGAAGCCCCCACGGTCATCCCAGTAGGCGGAACATCGAGCTGGAATCGGCGACACCAAACGCCGAGACATCGGCGAAGTAAGACGTCGAGAGCGGAAACCACACGCTCTTGGGCTGGGTGGACCGTCATCCGACACCGACCCGCCTGCCACCTATTGAGCAGGGACCGACCGTCCCGGCATTCCTATAGGCCTACCACGACATGTTCTTAGAACTCAGAAATGTTCTGATAACAAAAACCATGTTCTTAGAACATAAGCCCGATGTGCTAAAACAAGACACAGTCTCGGCCAGAAATGCTCTCATAACATTTCCTGGAAACCTCAACAGGTGCTCAGAACATTGCTTGGCAGGCCTATAGGCAAGCCATGACGCTTCGCCACTGCTTGAACCTATGAAGGGGCCTTGGGACACACGGAATCCCCATATTTTCCAATATCTTCTTTGGACGAAACATGAAGAATAGTCAAACATCATACCCCCACATAGCCAAAAGGTAAAGAAAACATCGTCCCCAGACTATTGTTTTACTATTTGGGAATACTCCTCCTGCCGAGGGACATGCCCGACTTAAGCGTAAGTGCTGATTGCGATGCTGATCATGGCGCTTGCGCGGACACGTGCGCGGGTCGCGCTGCTGCTGGTGCCGATGCCAGGCTGGTACTCACGGGCGCTTCAGCGCTGCAGGTGCGGTGGCAGTGGTGCTGCCGGTGAGGACCCTCGAGGGCCGGAAGTGATCCTGGGCGCCCCGGAGCGAGCAGGACCGGATCGAGCCGCCGAGCTCGTGCGGGCCCAGAGCTGCTGCTGCGGCGAGCGGATACAACGCCCTGCCCGGCCGCCCCTTACCAGCCTGGAGCATATCCCTATCCCTGTGCTGGGCACCTCCTCATCACGATGCCAATCTTAGGGATTCCCTTATCCCCGCCCCCCACGGTGCCTCGGCCTGCTGGGGCGCGCCCAGCTGAGGCACGGTGGGCACCTGCGCCGAGGGCGCGGGCCGCAGCGGAGGGGGGAGGGCGATGACGAGGAGGAGAGGGCCTGGCCCTGGGCAGCCCTACCCAGGCCGCCAACACTGAAGGGGCCCCAGGACACACAAATAAATACACACAACTAACAATATTCCCCATATGCTCCCATATGTTCTGGGTTTTTGTCTTCTCCCCCACTTGCCATATTTTCCCATCTTTTTCTGGGAATCGACGATTAATTGTGTCTGTGTGTTTTTCCCCCTCCTGAAACACGTCGGACGCACGTGGACGACTTGGAGAACCCTGTACCCAAAGTCGCTGTTTGGGGTTCAAACTTGCGCACGGAAAACGGTGTTTTGGATTCAGGGCGCACGTGGGCGCCTTCGGGAGCCCTGAACCCCAAAACAACGTTCTCATCTCTTGGGGGGGCATCTGTCACTTCCGCCGCCTTCCGCCAGCCTTCCGCCGGCGGAGGCGGCCTCGTTTTACTTCCGCCGCCCTGCCGCCGAGGAAGAGATGGCACCTCCTTCGATCCTCGGAGGCGAGGCCCTTCTTGGAACGCCCCCCTTGCAGCGGCAGCTCCCGTCCTTCCTGCAGGCTCCTGGCTCCGCCTGGTCCTCGCCATTGCCGTCCCCCCCTCTTCCCTTCTCCCCCGATGGGCGCCGCCTCGTCGTCGCTATAGTCCCTCCCTCGCGGCCGACTCCCAGCGCGCAACCTCGCCCTCGCCACCATCCCCCCCTCTCTCTCCGCCAGCGCCTGCCTCGTCCCGACCCCGCGGCCGACGCCCGCCGCCGCGGGCCGGCGAACACGGCCGCATGCATGCCATCCAGGCCCTCCCTCCATGTACCGTTCCCCCCCCGGGCCCCTGCCCCTGAGAACATGAGTGGGCGGCGCCCACCTGAAGGGGGGCAGGGGGAGGGGGGAAGGCTTCCCAGAAGGAGCCTTCGGGGACCTACTGACCCGGGTCACTGCAAACCCGGGTCGGTCAGGCTTCGCAGGACCCGGCAAGATCCTGCAGGATCCTGCAGGATCCTGCTGGATCCTGCGCCCTAGCCCTTCTCAGTGCAGCCCTGGTTCTGCAGGATCCTGCACGACATGGCACATGGCGCTCCGGCTGACCCCCGCTTGCATGGACCCCCATCTCGAGGCCCCCGAAACCTGCCTCTGAAAAGGCCCTGGCCCTGCATCTGCAGACAAAAGAGCCCGCGCCTTCTGAGAAGCAGCCGCCTTCAGGGAGCCTGTCCCCCTCCCCCCCCCGGCCCTCCCCCTGCCCTCTGTGCGCAGGGCCCTCTGTGCGCAGGGCCCCCCCGGCCCTCCCCCTGCCCCCCCCCCCCCCCGGCCCTCCACCACCTCGCCTTCCCATCGGGCCCGGCGGGGCCCAAGTCTGCCCCCCCCCCCCCCGTGCACGCATGCCCTCCCCGTGGCTGGAAGCCCGCGGGCATCCGGCCCAGGTGCTGCCCCCCCCCCCCCCCCGACCCTCCGCAGCCTACCCCCTGCCCCGCGCCGAGGCCTCGAGCGGCCGCAGGGGCGCGTCCCGCGGCGCTCCCCCCTTCGAGCGCGGCTGGTCCAGACGACGGCCTCGTGACGCTTGCCATCGCGCGGGCTTCCCTTTCCCGTCCATCTCGGGTGGCGACGTGCGCGTGTCGTCCTTCCTCGAGATGGCCCAAGATGCTCCAGGATGGCCCAGATCTTCTGGTGCTGACCTCGCCGAGAACCCTGACCCCCGACGTCCTGATGTTTTCGCACGTCGACCCCCAATGGGGTCTCGATCCATTCCCCGGGACCAACTTTCATCCTGAGTCGCCTGAGTCGTTGCTTGGCGGTCCTGGGGCCTGGTAAGGGCCCCCGGAAATTCCAGATAGCAAAAAACCTGGCGTCGTGATGTTTTAACGACCCGAGGTGGTCTGAAAAAAACGCCCGCGCCCGAGCGATACCGAGGCCGCGCCAGAGGCCCCACGCACACGGCCGCGACCGAGGCCCGCCCGGCGCCCGCGCGCCGCGGAGGGGCCCCAGGGACGCGCGAGCGCGGCTCCCCCTTCGGACGCCCGAGCCTGCCCAGGCGTGCTCGCGCCAGTCTTGGGTCGGGCATGCCCTCCTGCAGGCGGGTGTTGGAAGACAGGTTTAACATAGCGAACACGTACTCAACACATATTAAACATGTTGGAAGAACATTTAAACATGGTCGGGAAAGAATCAAATACCCAGGACCCGCCGTGCTCTTGAACGCTTTGCCAAAGAACGCTGGGCCAGAGTCAAATGTTTCACATTCGCGGCATCACTCTTACGGGTCAGATCGTTGGCAGGAAGGCGTCCACGGTGGGCGTGGAAACAGACTGATGAGGGATACTTGAGACATGCTTCGTGGGAGTAACAGCGCATTGCGATAGTGTCTCATTGCAGACCAGCGCCATGCGCGCTATGACAGAACAGCGCCCTGAGCTAAGTGCTGCAAGTGCCCGAGTGCAAGATGGACAAGAGGCAACTGCAGAGTCGATGCGGCATGGGCACATGACAGTGCCTGCGCTCCGTGGCGCCGCATCCCGCTGCGATCTGCGATCAAACAGCGCAGCGAGGTCTCATGGTGGTCCCCGTGGGACACCCCTCCGCTCGAACTCCCAGGAGCCCACGAAAGTGGCGATGTCGCAAATCGCAGCACCCCAGGGGACGGCGAGGTCTCATGCTGAGTTGCGTGGGACACCCCTCCGCTGGACCTCCCAGGAGCCCACGAAAGTGGCGACAGTTTCGCAAATCGCAGCTCTGGGAGCGTTCCAGAACGCGCTCTGGAACGGATTGATCCTCGTCCTTGCCGCGCCAGGTAACGTTTTCCTGGTGAACGTTTTCTGATTCCGCGTTTCGAGACTGGGCGGAAATGGGGGTAAAGGAGGGGAGGGGGTCTGGCTCCGGACCTCCGCTTGACGCGATTGTTTGCAGCAGTGCGTCCCGTGGGGCACTCGACCTGCTCGAAACAGGCGCCAGAAACAGCTAAGATCTACTCTATGGGGGGGAGGGTGTGCGAGGGCCCGCGCCGATCGGCAAAACCACGAAACAAAAACGTTCCCTGCCCCACCAGACAGCGCCTTCGGCTTGCTCGGCTCCAATCTGGTGCAAGCACGCAACGCCCTCTTGGAAACGCCCACCTCTCCCCCACCCCCCTCCTTCCGCGCATCATCGACAGGCGGGCCCCACCAATCATGCCGATACGCTTCCTTCTCCTCCTGCCCCTCCCCCGCGCCGCTGCCTTCATCTGCTTCAGCGCCTCCACGGGAGGGGCACTTGACGCCTGAGCCAGGGGGGGGCCAAAGACAGGCTGCAATGAGCCGCTGACCCACAGGGTTGGGGGGGTGGTCAACAGAAAAGGCGGTGACTTTCCCCACCACACGCGGATACGAGTGAGGAGCTGTCCTAGACCCGACAAGCTTCAAGCCGAGACTCGAGCCCGCCAAGGACGAGGCATTAGTCAACGTCGCACTGCAGGTGCCGCCCTGGCTGCTCCTCGTTTCAAGGTTGACCTGGACTCCAGCCCGCAGATGTCGGCGACTACTCAACTACAGGCATTCCCCTCCTCCTCCTCCTCCTCCTCCTCCTCCCTCCTCCTCCTCCTCCTCCCTCCTCCTCCTCCTCCTCCTCCTCCTCTTCTTCTTCGTCTTATTATTATTGTTCTTCTTATTATTATTAGTATTCATCCATCTTCTTCTTCTAATTCGGTTTCTTAGTAATATTCCCGGAAAGGGCCTGAGCCCAGGGTTCTCGTTTAGTTGGTTTCCCCCTCGGTTTTGACGGCTGTAGGGCCGGCGAATTTCTTTTGCGATAAATAACGAGGTCGCGTAGGGCCGGCGAATTAAAAATTGAGGATGTCCCTAGCGAAACGCTTGTTTTTGAAATCGCGATCGATAAATCACAGGGTGCGGGACACGTTTTGGTCAGGGGCATGGCCCCAGGAAGCCCCAGGAGGCCCCAGGATGTTTAGGGAATGCCTAGGAAGCCCCAGGAGGCCCCAGGAGAGCCCAGGAGGCCCCAGGAGGCCCCAGGACGTCCCAGGACGTCCCAGAACGCTTCAGGAGGCCCCAGAAGGCTCCAGGAGGCCCCAGGAATGCCGAGGAGGCCCGAGGAGGCCTTAGGAAGGCCCAGGAGGCGAAAGGGGCGAAAGGGACCTACGTGTTTTCACACTTGTTCCGCTCAGGGGCGAAAGGGACCCACGTGTTTTCACGCTTGTTCCGTTCAGGGACGAAAGGGACCCACGTGTTTTCACGCTTGTTCCGCTCAGGGGCGAAAGGGACCCACGTGTTTTCACGCTTATTCCGGTCAGGGGCGAAAGGGACCCACGTGTTTTCACGCTTGTTATGTGTCCAGGCCACCCAGGGGGGTATCTAACATGATTGTTCTGAGCAAGGACCATGTGTTTTAACGTGTCCAGGCTACTCACGGGTGTATCTAACATGGTTTCCCGAGCTGGCACCATGTGTTTTTAGGTGTCCAGGCCATCCAGGGGGATATCTAACATGGGTGTCCCGGGCAAGGACCACGTATTTTAACGTTCCGTAGCGTGTCCCCTTGGCATGTCCCGCGGTGCGTCCCCATGGCACGTCTCCTGGCACGTCGCCTGGCGCGTCCTTTGGGACGTTCCGCGGCGCGTCCTGCTGGCATGTCCCCCTGTCAATGAGCTCTGGGGCAGCTACTATGTGTTCAGGAAGCTCGAGCATAAGATCCATATCAGTTCGGTCAGGACTCGGATGCAAAGGCGGACTCGATCCACAACGCTATAGAGCACAGTCGCGGCATGGCACATCGCAATTCAGCACGGCGCAGCACAGCACAGCCCTCGGCACGGTACATCAAGATCGATACATTTAGCATTGCAACCTGGCACGTTCCTTGGCACGTTCCGTGGCGCGTCCCGTGGCGAGTCCCCTTGGCACGTCGCGCGGCAAGTCCCCTGGCACGTCCCGCGGCACGTCCATTGGCACGTTCCGTAGCGCGTCCCCTTGGCACGTCCCGTGGTGCGTCCCCATGGCACGTCCCCTGGCACGTCGCCTGGCGCGTCCCTGCGGACGTTCCACGGCGCGTCCTGCTGGCATGTCCCCTTGTCAATTAGCTCTTAGGCAGTAACTGTGTGCCCAGGCAGCTCGAGCTTACGATCCAGATCAGTTCGGTCAAGACTCGGATGCAAAGGCGGACTCGATCCACAATGCTATAGAGCGCGATCGCGGCACGGCACATCGCAATTCAACACGGCGCACAGCAGCACAGCCTTCGGCACGGCACTACATTAAAGTCGATACATTTAGCATTGCATTTACCCGTCGCCCAATCAGGTGGCTTTGAAGCGGTACCATGCCTTACATTTCTGGATTCCTTTCCGGGTTCGTGGGTTGATCATGTTCGTTTTATTAGTCTTAGTATTCTTCTTTGTATTAGTGATATTATTCTTATTCTTATTATTAGTAGCATTCGTAGTATTATTCCTCTTCCTCCTCCTCCTCCTCCTCCTCCTCCTCTTCTTCTTCTTCTTCTTCGTCTTCTTCTTCTTCTGCTTCTGCTTCTGCTTCTGCTTCTTCTTCTCCTTCTCCTTCTCCTTCTCATTATTATTATGATTCCTCTTCTTCCTCCTCCTCCTCCTCCTCCTCCTCCTCCTCC